CCGCGTCCCGCCGAGGCGGCGTTAGGTCGGGCCGCTCTGCCCCCAGCGCCTCCCCGCGGGCAAGCGGCCCTGCCCGGCCTCCTCCCCCGGGGCCGCGCCGCCGCCGGGACCTTGCGCCGCTGGCCGGCTGCGTGTGCCGTGGCAGTCCCTTGCCTGGGTTAATGTTACTTCCCCGTGGCCGCCGGGTGGCCCCGGCGTGCCCGACTTACCGCCCGCTCCGTAGCCGGGGACGGGGGAAGCAAGTTTGTCGTGCGGGGATGCGCGATTTGGGTTCCAGAGACTGTCGGCTTAGCGGGGAGGAAAGGGATGCACGCTCTGCCGCGTCCCGGGAGAGGGCCWGCGCTGGGAAGGGGGCCGGGGCAGCCCGGGATGAAACCTGCCGCGCATCCCAAATTCAGCATTCACTGCCGGTGCTGGATCTTTAGTGTCAGATGAGGGTACTCAGCATTGTAGTAATACATTGGATAAAAAAGAAAAAGAAAAAAAAAAAACCCGCACCAAAAGAACTTGCCGAAATAAAGTTTGTGCTTTTTTTTGAATGTTTATGACTTTTCAAAAAGCTGCTTAGGAAATCCCAATGAGTTGTATGCCTCAACTCGTACTGTGATTCCTGCTAGTCAGAATTCTTGATGATATTGTGAAAGTCTGTTTCTTTTGAGGTAAAAGGCTATGACTTCTCAGTGTGAACGGTGTGAGAGAAAAATATGCAGTAAATGTACCCAAAATACTATTTTACCTGAGACAACACACCCTCCGATGTTTGTATGTGGAACAACTACAGCTGAGTCTAGGTACAACTTCAGGGGTTTGAGGTGATCAGAGCTGGGTTACTGTAGGAGTTTGTTCAGCCCGAGTTTGGAATTCAGAGTGCTCTGAAGCACCAGCAAGTTCTAACTACAATTAGAACAGTCTTAAATTTTAGTTCTTTAACTGTGGAAGAAAAATCGTTTAACCACAGCAATGTGCTTCTGGCTCRGACGATCTCAGAGCTGCAAATCTTGGAGGTTCTAGGATGTTTGGCTTTTAGGGATGTGCTTGCCTTGTTCTTGTGCCTGTCCTTGAGCATCCATACTTGTCCAGTTTTCCTGTGGGAATGTACACCTTCGGTTTAATTTGAAACYGCTTGTTTTGGATTATTTGTTTATTTAAATATATTACAGCACTAACTTATGTATCTTGTGAGGTTTAACAAGAGTTAAAACTGTCATGCCAGTTAAACATGCTGCTTATGTGGTAGTTCTGTTTTTGTTTAATTTTTCTGTTTAGTACCCAGAATGTTGTCATGACAGGGTTCCTCAGCTGAGTGAGGCAGAGCTGTGTACCCCGGTGAGGTGCCATCAATTTGATGGCTACAAGCTCTTCTGCCTTGTCACTGGTACAGGGATTAGTACTGATTTCAGGATCTTGAAAGTGATAAACTTGTCTTGCCTGTCCTGTTAAGCAGAAGTGGCTGCTGTTGTGGTTGCAGTATTAAAAGTGAAGAGAGGAACTGGGAGGTGAAATTATGTATMGGATTTAAGAATGTAGGGACAGTTGCTGCTAATACTTTCTGTAGTTATTACAGGTTTTCTTGCAGTGATACTGCAAGTTCTTTAGAGGATGGTTCCCATCACAGTTTGTAATTGGCACTGCTCTCCAATGGCTGTGGGTAACAAATTCAATTTTAAAAATCTTTTCCCCAGGTTTCACATGGTTACTAATTAGACTTTTTGCCTTTTTGTTTATTTGTTTGCTTTGTTTCTGGATTTACTTAATTTCTCTTTTAATTACTGGTTTGCTTTTCTTAGAAMAGAAAATGTTACTTTTCTTCACATTCTGCTAATCTATCTCCCTGCTCATTAGAAGTAATTCTAGATGATGCTGAATTAGAAATGCGTTATAATGATGTTAAGCTCTTTCCCTGACCAGTAAGAAACAAACCAAGTTTTAGTTTCAGGATTAGTATTTCTCTTGCAGCAGGACAAATCCAACACATTGTATTACTGGCAGAAAGAAATAGGAGTGTGGTGCTGATGCCCCATGGCCCACRTGAAGCCTTTTGCAATTTGTGGGGGTTTTCATTTCCAAAGGTGCCYGGGTTAGTAAAAAAGTAAGGGAGTTTTCACATCTTATTGGAGGGTTTAGGGGAGAAGAGAAAATACAGGTTTGATACTTCTCTTTGGAAATAATCAACAAGTTATTCATTAGAATTAAAAACAAGAAGATATACGTGGGCTGAGGGTAAAGAGGGAGAGCCTCCTGCCTATAGATCACAGTTTTGTGTAAAATTAGTTATGAGCCTGAGAGATATCTTAATGGATCTTTACATTACTTACTTTTTAGTCTGCCAAACATAGGGCWGAGAAGATGCTGCATGTCAATGGCAGTGAAATGCCACAGTGAAATGGTTTTAAACTRTGAATTGGTGATCTAACTTGATGCTCACTTTAGTGCAGATTACCCAAATCTATGCAAAGGCTTCTTKTCACTTTTACATCTGTTTTCCTGTGTGGGCAATTGACATTTTGACAYTAACCTTTGAAACAAATAAACCTCTGGGCTGCTGTCAGCAGCCATCAGAGAAGAGATTCCCCCGCAGCCTGTGGTGCAGCCCATGGTGAGATGGGGTGGAACAGATGTCCACCTATAGCCCACGCCGGAGCAGCTGGATGTGCCCAGAGGAGCCTGTGACCCTGTGGGAAGCCTGTGCTATACCAGGCTCTTGGCAGGTCCTGTGGACCTGTGGAGAGGAGCCCACAGTACCTTTGCTGGGAAGGGAGGGCCCATGGAGGACCCATGCCAGAGGAACTTGAAAGATTGAACTATGTGGAATGGACTCATGCTGGAGCAGTTTGTGAATAATTAGTCCATGGGAAGCAATCATGTTGACGTTTACGGAGGACTTTCTCCTGTTGGAGGGACCCCACACTGAAGCAGGGGAAGAATGTCAGGAGTTCTCCCCCTGTGGAGGAAGGAGCAGCAGAGACAATGTTGATGAACAGGCTGTACACCCTGTTTCCATCAATCTGCTCCATATGGGGGGAGGAGGTAGAGAAAACTGGGAGTAAAGTTGAGCCCAGGCAGAAGCGGGAGGAAAGTGTTTTGAAATTTGGTGTTTCTCTGAGTCTGGTTTGCCCATAATGGTAATTGGTGAATGATCTCTCCTTATTTTTACCTCAAYCCATGAGCCTTTTGTTACATTTTTCTTTCCAGCTGAGAAGGGAGTGATAGAGCAGCTTTGGGGGAACCGGGATTCCAGTCAGTCAG